CGGGTGCCCCTCTTCCACGTTATAAATATATATATATAGTTGGTTAGATGGCCATTTTATCTAAAGCAAGTAAAAAATGTCACAGCTTGATATTTGCAAGGAAGGTTTCGGGTTAAGTAGCTTGTTTAAAAGCATTTCCAACAGGGTTGGTTCAGGAAGTTGAACACCAGGTCGTACAATCCCGTCCGCAAACATCACACAGCCCGAGACTAAACCTGTATCCTTGATCAGAAGTTTAATATTACACTGTAAGCGATATAAGACATTTGTAAGTTGAAAAAGCTAATTATTATGTATCAGGAAATAATTTTGAGGTGGGTCTTTCTGTCTTCCACTGAAGGTACGGTGGTTTGTAACAACATGCTTTTGCCTAATAACACTGTGTGGCGGGTTTGCTCATTGACAGTCAGAAAGCCAAAATCAAACCGCAACGTAACACAAAACAAAAGGAAGCTACATTTCACAAATATATCACTTTGTATTTTAAACGCAGAAAATACGCATGAGTAGACAAACAACCACAATAAACAGGCACACATAAGAACACCCCAAAATACAATGTTACTTATTAAATTATAGTAAGTACATCATTTAATTAAGTACACTGCAGTTGTGCTGCATCGCAAGAGGCACATCTCAGCGTGTTTGTTTTATTTGTAGCTAATTTTGGCTCTGCACAATCTCACTTCCAAAGGTGCCGGCACCTTGCTATTCTCAGTGTGCTCAGCAGAAAGAGGAAACAGCCAATTAAATTTCTACAAATCACTCCCCCTCAAGACAAACGAGGGGCCCGTAAGCCACAGCTCAATTAGCTCTTTTAGCCTGAAGTGATTGTTCTGAGAGTGCAGGAGTTATGATGGGATATGGAACAGCCCAACTGAGAGCCGCGCAGGAGCCGGCCGAACGCGCCCCGCCAGCCCGACGGAGGCGCTACACACCCGGCGAGCGCACAGCACCACCTGCAGGACGCAGAATGCCAAAGCCAGCAGGGGCTCCATGTTCGCCATGGGGGAACTAATTTCCTGGCAAGCTGGGTAATTCAGGTCTTAACTTCGATCTGCTGTCTTAATTACTTTATTTAGGTGCGCAGTTTTGATACATTACATATTTTAAAAGGAAGAGCACATTTGGAGATGGCCAACGCCATTGGTATTAATAGCCTGGAACTTTGCTAATCAGTCCAAATATGGCAAGAGAGGAGGCAAGAATAACAGAGCGAAGACACATGAGGATGGAGTTTAGCATCCCTGGCTTATTCCTGCACTGCCCAACACCTACATGGATGACAGGAAGAGTGAGAGCTAAAGAGTATTTGCAGTCTAAAAATACTGATTATTTAACGTGACACAAGCGTTAGTGTTATCGCTACCGATGTATCACCGCATCTCAACAACGTCTTAGTAACAGCCTTGAGTGGAAAGGAAAGATGGATTGTAAAATTACATTTACTTGGTACAGTCTTTGAGCTACAACAGGCTATGAAAATCTTCCAACGTTTACATGCATTAAAATACTATTCAGCATTGCTGTTATTCCATCCATCCATCCACCTTCTCAGCACCTATATCATTTCATTATTACTATTCACCCATAACTGCTGATCCAATGCAGGGTGGGATAGGATGGATCCTATAACAGTAAGTGCAGGGTGTCAGGGCACACACACACACACACACACACGGACACACACACACACACAGACACACACACAGAGACACAGACACAGACACAGACACAGACACAGACACACACACACAGACACACACACACAGACACAGACACAGACACAAACACACACACACAGACACACACACACACACAGACAGACACACACACACACACAGACACAGACACACACACACACACACACACACACACACACACACACACACACACACACACACACACACACACAGACACACACACACAAACACACACACACAGACAGACACA